AGGTTACCAAAGCCGGCAAGCGCGACGAGGCGACCTTGCGGATTGAAAGAGATGAAGTTATGAGGAGAGGATCCAAAATCGTGAAGCGTCCGCACACGTTGATCAAAGAGTGTAGTTTTAGCAGGCATATCTAATAAGAAAACCTGTCAGTAGCGACTTCCATGATCTGGGAGACAACTAACATCCATAGACAACGCCAAATTCTTTCGAGTTTGGGCTCCACGAGACGTCATGGATCGGTCCCTCCTTGTCCAGGGTGACGCGACAGTCGAAATTACCTGCCGCGCTCAGGAGGTACATACCAGTCTCGCCGTAGTAGCTCATGTTCGAGTTATCAACCTCCGTTTGTGTAAGGACTAGTGCCTGTGTGCCAAGATCGTTCCACTTTATCTGGGCGCGATCAGCCTTGTAGAAAGTTTTAGAGCAGGTCGGAGCGCCAGAAAGGGTGGATAGGCCGTAGATCTTGACAACCGCAGGGGCGCCCTGAGAAGAGGAAACTTAGCATAAGAATGTATGTAAGATGGAGGGAAAAGAACTATACCTTCTTCTCAGCAACAAACACCGCAATGGATGGGTTCAGTCCAGGACTCAAGGAGACCATGGATGCGCCTTCGACGCGCAGCTTATCGGCAATGCCCTTCCCCCATTCAGCAGGACGGTAGACCTGGATCTCCTGAGCAACAAGACGAATGGCATGCGACTCAGACATGGTGTACTGAAGGTCCCAGTTCTCCTGCGACTTTTGTGTGAATGAGATGAGCTCCTCGCCGGTAGACGCGGAGAAGACGCGGAGATTCTTGTGCTGGGCGCCATCTTCCAGCTTGACTGCGGGGAGGCGTGCGAGTGAGTTGTTACCGAGACCCTCGACGACAAACACGAGGCGTACCTGGCCGCTCCCATGTAGAGAGGTATGTTCCGCGCGGAGAGAACTTGAGTTCGATGATATTTGGAACACTCAGTTCTTGAAGCAGCTGGGCACCTTCGGCTAGAAAGATCCGCACACTGCGAGGATCAAATTGAGTCAGCTAGGTGATTCGCGCGAGCACGAAGTAAACCTTACACAGTTGGTAGCGCGTATGCAAAGAGGCGACCGTCGGGGCTATAGTGGTATGTGCGAGCTGGGACATCGGGGACGGCGAATCCCTCTATTGGCATGTATGTGGGCGTGCCGCCGACGAGGCCCATGCTCTTCTGTGCGCGGACTACAAGATTCCAATCACGTTAGATCAAAAAACAAACTGGATGATAAATATTTGAACGAACAAGCATATTGCTGGGAAAGCTGGGAGGCCATTTTTTTGTGCTGAGAAGACGGAGGGGGCGAGAACGAAGCAAGTGAATGCTTCACAGGAGACTGTCGGTGGAGGCAGAAGATCAAGGATGTAAAGTATAATCAATGCACAGCTGAATTCAAACAAGATCTACTTTAGGGCAAGCAGTGCTCGGTTACTTACAAGTTGGCCTTGAGGCTTCCGGAATCCGGGCCATGCTCTCACTATTATGTTACAAGTAGCAACCGTCTTTGGCCCTGTCCGCATGGAAATCGGCCAGGCCTGAAGACTAGCAGGGCGTATCCAGTGAGCTGACCCACAAAATCACTCAAGCTCGATAAAAATCTTTCGCAGCAATCCTCGAAAAGATTGTTGGTTGAAACTTCCATCCGACATTCTTCTCGAGGAAGATCGAAATATTAGTGTCATGCTGGATTCAAGTACTTTTTTTCACTCGGGCTCGGTGATATATTTCATCATACTACATACGAAGATTGAAAGTGGACCATGACAGTAATATTCCTCAATTATTCCAAACCTTCAGTGGTGCGTCTGTGCTAGCCGGATGACACGCTGACGCATTTATAACACGTTTTCAGGGAGATAGTATGCCATTTTTCACGAATGGGGCCTCCCCAACACGAGTTGGAACTGCCGGCATCACATCTCGGCTGTAAGTAAAACCCGAACAGACGGCGGACGCTCAGGTTGCACTCTTTGGTTGCGCGACATTCGTTCAGCGTGTCACGCCGGTATCCGTTCATTCAGCCTTTCGTCCATGCACCATTAGATCTTTGCTCACCCAATTAGCTTACCCACATGAAGAACGTTGCACGCACCGGTACATCCCTGATTTTACCCCATCACCCCATTACATCACTCTCAGGTTCGAAACCCGAAACTTAAAGTAGAGTCACCGTTGGCCTTCAAAAGATCTGTCAAACTTTCGATCTATTCGAAGAAAAACCCCTCTTTAACGGCGACGTCAGAAGATGCACCCACCACACAATTCGCGTAGTTTTGAATCTATCAGGGCCCCATCTTCAAGTTACGATTTGCCGTCTCCAAACTTCTGATGCGCCGAGGCTCTTTCCTTAAATACCTGACTTCTCTGGGGAGTCATGGATGCCAATGGTAATTTTCACGCGTATGTAGTCACGGCAGTGTACATTATCAAATGAAGCTTAACTTATGACCGGTTCATCCCAGGCTGCGCAAGCATATAATTTGATCACATCCCGCGAAGGACATGTGCCTTGTGCTCTTTGTCGCGTCGCCTCGGTCGCATTGTTCATTTACATAAACTCGCTAGACGCACCCCTCCGTGAGCCACTATTTTCGGCGAACGTTGGTTCGACGCGTTTTAGTTGCACGTTTCGGGTAACAATCACGTACTGCGGCGCCTAATAGGATGTCAACAATAACATCCTGCGAGAAATTTGGACAATACAGCTCATCCCACCTTTCAGGCCGCGAACATCGGATCATCGCCTGTTCAAGCGGCAACCTGCGAGTATGGAACTTGAACAATGAAAATCAGATAGGGTAAGACTGGTAAGATAGATGACGCACCGTAAGCAAGCCACGGTGTTGTTTCCTGGTGGGAAGATGTGGATATTGGTGATAAGAATGTGGGATACCGAGAGAGGGAAGGTATTCGCCCAGAACACGGGTAAAAGGTGTTGTTTGGTGGTGAGCGAATTTACTGAAGGATGGAATAGCAAGGGTGTGAGAGCGTAGAGAATCATTCGAGGCAGGACATTCATACACGTGAGTACAGTCATCTACTCCTCAAACGCAAACCAGTGGCTGATTCCATTAGGCCTTCTCAGCGGCAACGAAGACGTAGGGGACCCCTAGGCGAGGGGCGGGTACTCAGTGTCCTCCGGACTTTGTCGTGACGGAGGCGCACCGGTGCTCTTCACCACTTTGCCTTGCTCGCGAGCCGATACACAGGCACACAGTCGCGGATACACCGCTCCAACGGTCTCAGCGGGTTGTTGGCGTCAATCCGGACCTCAAATTCTCGGTAAGCTCATGTGATCATCCTAATTTTACGCAATGAATGAATCTGAATTGGCAGGCCAAGACAACTGAACGCTACATTCTCTGAGCGGAAATTTCTGGAATTAAAATTAGTAACAGTTTATATTTTCACTCACAGCAACAAGTTTGATGTCATGGCTGATTGATTGTATACCACCGTGAGCTTAGGAGTTATTACTATGTACAAGATCCCGATTTGGGATATGTTAGTAGGTCAGCTGGTTTAACTCTCTTTTGATTTTGCATCAAAATTGAAACGTTTACATGTTGACGTATCAACACAGTGACATACTTCCGTCTCAGCATTCGACTTTACGTTTTATATGTACCATAACCTCATGTACTTGTAGCATAGGATCGTCGGCAGCCTTCAACCGGACATTCCGGATATACTTCCGTCTCAGCATTCGACTTTACGAAAAATCAAATTTTATATGCACCATAACCTCATGTATAGGGTCGTCGGCAGCCTTCAACCGAACTTTCCGGACATACTTGCGTCTCAGCATTCGACTTTACGAAAAATTAAATTTTATATGCACCATAACCTCATGTACTTGTAGCATAGGGTCGTCGGCAGCCATGAAATGGCAACGTTATCACATCAATATTCTAGATAAGTAAGCACGTGTGATCAAAGTTGGCAATGAGGTTATGAAGAGAATCACCTTGATGCGGCAACCGTTCTTTCAATATTTGTGCCTGTGTCTGAGCCGACTCCACGGAAGTGTAGACCTCGCAACAAAATTATATGATGTAAGTTTACATGACTAGTAGTCACTGAGGCCTGAGGCCTGAGGTATTAACAAGTTCCACTTTGGGTCTTTAGATCGAGCTCAGACATATATGCGGAGAATTAGTACAGTATCGCGTTACCATGTGCATGGCCCTAAAATCAAAATTAAGTTTGCAGAATATGAAAGCAACGGTTGGGGTATGCCCCTGATCAAGATTCGATAAGATCAAGCCTGCAAGGAGTTCGCGCGCCTGAAGAACTATATCTGTCGAGCCGTTAATGTGGAACACTGGAAATGCACCGCCAGCTTACCTACACGTCATGTGATTTGCCGCTGGTAGCCAAAAAGGAAAATGACCCCACCAATGACCATGGAGGGAGCAGAAAACGTACTACACCCTGTTTTCCTTTCCCTCGAAGTCCAACGGAAATTATGGAATCGCGCGAATTCACTATCAGGGTTTGATGACTTCCCAAGATTGTTCCTGATGGATAAAAAAAAGTGCGGTCGGCCCATCTGCATCTCGATAAACAAAGTGCGGTTGGCATTTCGCTAATCTTGTGTATCGTCAAGGTTTAAATTAAACGGCGAAGCCCTTCGTCAGCTGCCATTCATTTCTAGTGAGATCACAGGACGGAGAATGCGCCATCTGCCGTTACGTTACCTGCCAGACTTGCCACGGATGCTAAGCTGCGCAACCACGCTCAATCTACAGGCAACAAATAGTCACGGACCCAAAACACGAATATAAAAAGCGCCACAAAGGCTGACAAGTATCTTCTTGCATTGATACGACTTCCCGTGTCAACCAGAATCCGCAAGAAAACAAACTCAGCATTCAGACTAAAGCTGCCTTTACATATGTAAGGTTATATTTTGTAGACTCGAAATGAGAACATGACTTTACCTTTAAGGTCCAGACCGACGCTAACAACCCCCCCTGTCGATGACACCTTCGCAGTTGGTGCAGGCCCCGGATCAATATTTGATGAAACCAACGCTGCAATCATATCTCAAGTACCTTGACCGACACATTGATAGGATGTTCAACACTTACAGGGAAATGCTGGAGATCCGTTCTCGTATCGCAGAACTTCTTGCCAGCGACCAATCAGAAGTCACCGAGGGCACATGGGATGGTACCGTTGGCATCCAAGCGATCGTCGATGAGCCTCAGACCATTACCCCAAGTGTACTCCATGAGATTAATGCTAGTGCATGGTCATCGGACCTTTCCCTCTTTCCAGAGCCATGAGCATTCTATGGCCAGCTTTCTGACGGTCCTGTAGCATCTTCCGAGATCACTGGATCGTCGTCAGAGAGTGTAAATGATCCCCTCGGTCAACTTCCCCAAGGTAAGTTTGCTATCATTCGCAGCTTCTTTGCAAACTCACCATGTACAATCAGACATATTGCCCTCCAGTTCTTCCGGTTCCGACAGCTATGAGTCTAGGGCACAAGACTTCGTGCCTCAGCATGGCACGTACTCTGAGGGGCAGACCCTGTCAAGTTCTTCAGCCAGACGCGATGAACAATTACTTCCAAAAGTACGGTGCACCCAGCCTGGGTGCTCGAGTGTCGTCAACAAGAGTAATCTCACTCGTCATATCAACGAGGTGCATGAGCGAAAGGTTAAGGCTCGATGCGCCAGCTGTGGGAAAGGGTTTACACGCCCGTACATGATGGAGGATCATATTCGTAGGGCCAACTGCGCAAGTCCCTAGATTTTGTTGATGGAAGTTCAATATTTAACGATATCATACATGCATACGCACGCACGCCCAACTTCGTCGCTTGAACTATGTTGACAATTGATTGAATCTTCTTGAAGCTGTTTTTACAACGCCACCTGAATGAACAGGAAAGTCCTAGAGATAGACATGTAGTAGATTTCAGAAGGGAATAGGAAAACCTTAATGCACACCAACAGGAATAAGATTCAACTAGATATGGCGTGTGGCGGTATTGACGGCAATTATGAGAGCATTACAACAGTTGAACTGCCGGTGACGAATCATCTTCGTCCTATTCAATTGCGAGGGAAAAATGAGGAGCCATAACCGAGGATAAACGTTGAAAACGTTCAAAGCTGAGCGCTAAGCACTGATGGGCCTTGAACGTTGCGGAAATTGGCCGACAATACTAGTAATAGTCAATGAATTGACCGGTGACCGTCCGGTTCTTCATCGGAGTGCTCGGAAGGATCCAGCACCACACGTCCAGTAAGCAAGAGCTTCTCCGAGTCTTCATCGTTTCTTTCCCTTCAAGTTAGCGACTTCTCACTCGCTCGATCCTACACATTATCCTTGCTCGTTCTCGTATTTTCCCCCTGCCTCCACACCCAGTATTAATATATTCATCATTTAATATTCGCGCCAGCCCGTCTACAGTTATATCTCAATTATGCATTCATACATAATATTACATACCCAGCTTCATTTATCTCATTGCAATAGAGTTCATTCGGCACTCCGCCTGACGGCAATCTCATCCATATCCGAACTGAGCGTTGCCATAGCTCGGTCCCAACCACTGTTCACTCATCCAATCGTTTTCAGTTGCGCGCTTCGGATAACAATCACGTACTGCAGCGCTGGATGGATGTCAGCAATAACGCCCTGCCAGAAATATGGACAATACAGTTCGTTCCACCTGCCAGGTGAATATCAGATCGTCGCGATTTGTCTGTTCAAGCGGCGACCTGCGAGTACGGAACTTGGAGCGAGGCGACCAGATAACCTTATGGGATAAGGCTAACGAGATGGAAAGGGCGCACCCTAAGTAAGTTACCCGTTGTCTCCTGACGAGAAGATATGGGTAGTGGTGATAAGAATGTGGGATACCGAGAGAGGTAAGGTATTTGTCCGGAACACTAGTAAGGTGTTGCTTGTCTGTTGAAGTCGAGATATAGGGTTGATGGTGAGTGGATTTACTGAACGATGGAATATCAGATATATCAAGGATGTGGGTGGGACGTGGAGAATTATTCGAGAAAGGACATTTATATGTGTATACAGTCATCTATGGGCGTCGTTACCTGTTATTTTCAGAATCCCAGTCAAGATGTAGACTGCACGCACTATAGATACAATCTATTGCCATTCTTTCAGTGCATCCCTTCGAACATTGCGTCAACTTCCATTTCACTGCGTGACTTCTCGGCGCTTACAGAGCAGAGGCATAAATGTCTCGACATAAGTCAGGTTTTGGTGAACGAGAGCTGTACGCATCTTGTAAGCGGCAGTGCAAACTGAATGATGTCAACACTAACCATGCAAAGACCCCAGAATTTCGATCAAGTGCTAAATCAAGCATGCAGATTACATGTGTTCGGTCGGAGTCTACACCACTGCAGCTGGAGTGGGATGGCCTGCGCTGTACCATCTTGTGCATAAGGGCGCTCCGCGAAGAACTCATGTGATTCGTGAACCTCGAGATCTCATCGATCAAGACACGTTTACGCATGCGCTATACTCTTTTTGAGTTGGACATTCAACGATGCTGCGCCAGATTACCTTGTCTCAGCTCTGAGTTGGTGGCACGGGTCTATGTCACGTACATTGTGAACAGCGAGGATGAGGACCATGAATTCGACGATGACGACGAGGGTTTTGATGGATGCGATGATGATCAAGAGGATGATAGTGTTGAGGATGACGACGGTGAAGGGGAAGCTGTAGACAACGATTTCGATTATGTCTCTTTCCAATCCTGCCTGCCAAAACTTACAGCTGTACCATAATTTTCAGGTCTGCCACTACTACGCCACAGCAGGGCAAGGTAAAAACTCCTGCATGGTTATTCGACGTCCTAGGACATGAGGAAATAGCGTTGTGATACACAGAAGCGAAGAGATCCCCTGCTCAAGCGTAAGTTCGCCGCGGCGCGGCAGCCAGCAAGTTGTTGTCAGCGAAATTGTTTGCTTGTTTTTGTTTGTCTGTCGGTGGCAAGATGGTCGTGCTACACGCGCCTTACCTTATGCTCCGGTTGTAAGTAGTCCCCTCGCTATGTTGGGTACTTCCCTGAAAGACTAACTGGATTTAGCAATAATATTGGTATTGACGTCTTGAATCTCTGCACGTTGCTCTATCCCTGGCACCGTAAGCTACGGTAGGCATCAGACTTCTTTTTGACAAGCGAAATTATGTGGTCTTTTAGCTTTAGATACGGTGAATCTGCTCAGGTTCGGACCGAGAAACTGGCGCAGATGACATTTAACGTCATCTGATGATGACTCGGTGATACGTCACCTCGTGTTTCAGATAGACCTCCGCAAAATGCCCGCCAGTGGCACTGTTCCACTTACCCGAGATGTTTTCTGGCGCTGTACGTCTGCTATTCTCAATGCCCCAGATCACTTTTTTTTTCAATAAGCTACCGTACTGAAATCAGCCTCGTCCAGGGTCTTTCCGCTGCTAGCTGCGTTTTTCAGAAGTATACGACCATTCCATGCCTCCTACGTTGTAATATTAATGGCGACGATGACAGAACGTGGATGTGCTGCAGGTCAATATTAATAGACCTCATTGCAGCACCGTTTAATTTACCTCCCCCAAAAAATGCAATTGCGCTGCCACCAATCCATGCCACCATGACACCTGCTAGACGAGATCATCACTTCCTCGATTCAAGCGATGGCTTGCTGTGAGTATGAGACAGTGCAGTGTATGTCATGGCATTGTCTTCTGACGGAAAGAAAGTTGGTAGCAGGGACTTGGAAGGACGGTAGTTTTGGTGCATCTTCTGGTATGTAACTTTGTTGATGGCTCGGCTTGAAATCGGATCGTACTTCTTTTCATTCCACCAACAGCCGATGATTGACGGCCACCACCGTTACCCCCCGGCGCAGAGTTAATGGACTCGGACAGGTGGAATCTGGCAAGCATGATGTATTCTTCTTATGTGTGCTGATGCCTTTGCATTTGGTTTAGTACCAGCTGTTTTTCTTCCTGGATACGCAACGGATCATGCTGGCATCAAGACCTGCCAAATACGACAACACCTCATAACCGTCGTAAAAGCTTCTGCAGGTCTCCGATCCCATAATCACACCATGACGTCAAAGTCAGCTAAATTCCACTTTAGTGAGACGGCATTCGTGTTGCGGATCTCCCGAATGTAGGCAAAAATGCGATATTGCCATACTCAAGGTGTCGATATGTCAAGTCTCAGCGTGTCAGACATGCCTGTAATCAATAGTCCGAGATCTGGTGTATCACTGGAGATGATATGAGCTCAAAAATGTACCAGCTGCTGCGGTAGCGCGCCAAGGGTTGCGATCGCAAACTCCTGCTTGGGTGCGTTATGTAACCAGAATGATGATAGTATGAGCATCTAATAAGTATTACGTGCAGGCGTCATATGTTCCATCAATATTGTATCTCAAAACCGGGAATGAAAAAAAAATCATAACTCGAGGCGGTGTATAGGAGATTACACCTAGCACATGTTTAGTTTGTCACACACGAGTAATGCCGCAGCCTAGCGTCAAAACCCTGGAGCGGAAAAAACAAAGTTGAGATCTAGAAAAAAACATGATCATATTGGCGAGGGAAGTATTGCAAAGATACCAACACTTTTGTTCAAGATACGTGCTCGGCGGAGTTAACTCGAGCACCAAGAAGATATAAATGTTATGAATCAAGGTAGCATCAGGGTAAAGACCATATGATGTACCAACGGGGATGGTGCCGGTCGGCGGTGGAATCTAGCGTGATTGCACTCATGGAGTTCCATGCCATAATCACCATCAAGCAAAGAGGACGTAGAGATCAGCGTTCAAAAGCCGATCTGGAATGGCAATATTTGATGGAAAGCGCGATCCTTGCCATATATCTACTAGAACAGGCCTGGCTGCCCTTGTCAACATTGCAAAACATGAGTTTACTGACCTAAACGATCCTTTTTTGTCACGATCATTAGTCCTTGGTGAAGAACTGGAGGAAGTCACCACGACGGAGATCGTCCGATTCAATAGAAATACTTACCACGGTATCTAGACATATTCCGATAACCAGTAAGTTCATAATAATACCGGTGACAGTGCACCTCTGAGTCACATCGACTTTTAATACAGCCTACCTGAACTCGTCTAGTGACATAGTAGCACAGGGATGTTGTGGGAATTCATCCACATTGCACTTAATTGTCACTTGGAAGCGAACAGGCCGCGCATGACTGTCAAGTGATCTGAATCTACGACAGGTAGCAACCAAGCTGAACGGATTCGAAGTGGCAAGTAATCGTTACACCTTGCATGTGAAATGTGCTTCGTTTCTGAAAATAATTACCAATTAATACCTGCAACACGAGGTAAACTAGTTGCAAGCAAATTACACATTGGTTTGATCAGGGCGGTTCAGATTACACCCCTCGGATGCGCTGTGGGGCGTGGAGCATGGTATAAAGCCTCTAAGTGATGTTCCATTATGTTCAATCTCCCAACATTCAATGAGACTAGCACTGCAGTCTTGCCTTGAGCACCTCGATAGGGTGGAGCATCGTATGCACCAGGAAATGCAAGAGATGCGCAACCTTCTTATAAATCTCCTTGACAATTGCCAGTCAGATGTCACGATGGAGAATTCAGGAGGATGTTTCAGCACCGTCGACTCCCGAGCTGGACTCAATGGCCTCGATGCCATTACACCGTTTAAATCTTCGCACGACCGCTGCTTCGTGCCACAGACTACCACAGGTTCTCCCCAAGGTAAGTTGCTGTATATGTCGTCTTGCCTCCAAACGCTTACCATGTACAGGCTTATTGCCCCACAGCGCCCGCAGTTCTGCCGACTATGTAACTCAGCCTCAGCACAGCATGTACTCTGCAGGCTTTCCAACATTCTGTGACCCGCGTGTCATAAAATCATCATCAGAGCCCGAGGGCGTGGATGTTCGCTTCGGTGAATCAGCTACCATCCACAACTTTTTATTGAAGCGCTTACAAAGTATCCCTAGATTTATTGCTCCATGGCACATCCGATCCTGCCTATGAGCCCGCTGCGCAACCCTTCCAGGGCTTTTATTTCGGGGAGCATGTCCCCTTCAGTTCTTCGGCCAGACCCGACGCGCAACTTTCCGTCCCCGTTGTGCAGACTAACCAAGCAAAGGACAGAGTAGAATGCACCTGGGACGGGTGCCCGGCACTCATCAGCAAAGATAGCCTCACTCGCCACGTCGAAGAGGTGCACGAGGGGAAGATCAAGGCTGTTTGTACAGGCTGCGGAAGGGTGTTCAAGCGCCAGTATCAGATGAATGAGCATATCCCTAGATGTGGGAGATCCTAGATTGTTATTTTGTACGTCAAAGTCGCTAGCTGGATAGATTGGGTAATGTCCAGAAGTACTTGCTTACAATATTTGTTGGCACGGTTCGTCATGAACAAGATGCGATCTACTAGGGGATGCTAGTATTTGCTTGTTACAAGGCGACCTTGGTGGACGAAACTGCAGCGTCGGCGTTCACTTGACATGGTCCCCGATGCTCACTATTGTTCGGGTGCCTAAATATACGCAAAAGTACTAGTGGCAGGTTGGTGGCAGGCTTGAAAAAAGTTGATCAGAATCGTGTCATAAATATGACTTTATTAGGCAGGTTAGTGCTGTACATTTCCGGTGAATTTAAATGGGGTGTTAATGCGAGGTTTCGAAAGCAGGTAAACGGGTGTGTCTTGTCGTGGTACCTCAACCTCAGCAATATTTGATAGTAGCAGCCGGGACCTGAGTCCCTTCATCGTCATTGAAAATTGTGAAAAGGTATGGCTCATCGACATTGAGAAACTCATACATATATATTTACGAATGCATTTCACACTCAGAATATGCTATATTTTGCCTACGGAAAGTCATCCAGTACACTTCCCTTGGAGATGATGATCGATTCGATGATCCCTTGGAGGTGAGAGATTGCGCCAACGACGAGCCCCACAGCAAGCGGCAACTCAGCGGCCTTCATTCCCATTGATCCGCATCGCCTTGTTCGTGCCTTTTGAGTTCTCGGTACTCTTCGCACACATTCATTGAAGCAGTGGAATTAAGGGGTGCGTGTTGAAAACTTCATCTTTGAAAATCTACATTTTGGTTGGGCAGATAAGGTCCCTCTTCAAATACAGGCATGTGAATTCCCTGTGTACGCACCGTGCATCTCAAGGTACTCAAGATATCAACAAGATATGATTGCAATCTTGATCTCGATGGATCTTAGCTCGATCATGGACCTGCCCTGACTACAACGAAGGTGTCGATGAGATGTCTATTAGTGTCGACCTAGACCTTTGACGAAGATTCATGCTCAGCTCATTTTGAAGTGACTCTGCGTGATGCAAGCTCATTTGTGCAAGGACTCGGTTCGGAATGGTGAGCCTGGCTTCTAGGTGGCATGGGAAGGTACGAACGTACCTCACTGGTTAGTCGTTGCGAGATTCCTGCTTTTGTGATCACACTTGAAACCATTCAACGCAATGGAATTCAGAATATCTATGGTCATGGCAGGCCAGTACGACCTTGGACATGCCGGCAGTCAAACTTAAGCTTTAGGTGCAGATCCGAGGATACTGCATAACTTCAAGTTCAAGTCAAATGTCTACCTGCTGAGAGGACGGTCTACAGTCCTTGATGGACCAACAATTCAGAATAAAACTCCAATGGCTATCAATGATCGCGAGAAACCGGACGCCACGGTTTTGTTCCGAGAGAAATTGTGACACTTGTGCGCTCGATTGAGCTCGGAGTAGGAAAGTTTGCCCGTCAATACCTGGCGTAAGGGTGAGATTCAGTGTTGAAGGAACGTAATCTTGGGCAAACCTGTGCGCTTGATTGAGCTCGGAGTAGGAAAGTTTGCCCGTCAATATCTGGCATAAGGGTGAGATTCAGTGTTGAAGGACCGTAATCTTGGGCAAACCTGGAAAAAATTACACCCAAAAATACATGTCGCTATTTCATGGCATGGGGATCATGATTGAATATTGAGCCTTCTTCGGGAATCGCAAGAAGTTCGGGTGCTGTTCACTGCAGTGCCATCCAGCGCAGACATGAAATAAGACGTGCCCACGAACTCCACCCCAGTAAGATCGCCCTGAACAGCGGAGCACGAGTAAACTGAGGCAAAGAACCATTACCGACTATGCTGCAAAACTGAGCAAGTCACTTACGGTGTTGAGGCCTCGAGGCCTATAAGGCCTAATCCACCGATGGAGAAGTTTACAAAATCGGGGAAATCTATCTATAAACATGAATCTTGCGTCTAACTTAGGCCGTTAGCCTCAAGACAAATAGAGATAACCAGATGCCGGCTCTTTCATACCGGCTCGTTCATGCCGGCTCCTGGATTTTATGGTCGTATCCGTATAGGTCGCTGACATAGACTTCTGTTAAGGTGCCAGTTGCGCTTTAAACATGTGGACAGGAGCTTCGAATGGACGGGATGGAAGCTTTGAATGGACGGGATGGGTGTTACAAATGGATGGGACGAGAGCTTTGAATGCGCAGAATACGGGAGTTTCGAAAGCGCAGGGTAGAGCTTCGATTACGCGGGATGGAAATTTCGAATGGACGGGAACTATTAATAACCTCGTACATGTAGTAGTGTAGGGTCGTCGGTATACTTTCTGAAGTCACTTACACGGTAATTCGCATCTCTCAGCCTATACGTGTGGCCGGCCTATCGGAGCACATCCAGTTGTCATTTGGGATATCGATGATTGATGGTCTTTGATGGTTCCTGCTATTAACCCCCTTCGGGCCCGGCGCACTGGCACATTTCCCCCTTTCGCAGTGGTGTTGTGGTAATATTAACGGTGAATTTGAACCAATAGGTATGGTGCCGGTGGATTCTAGTGGATTTCCCTAATGGAATTCCATGTGGTTAAGTAAAGGCCGCAGACGTAATTAGCTATTTATCACAGATTTCATGAAAGAGAACATACATATGGACCGCCACGGCTATGTTTGGAAGTCGATTGAGAATGGCAATATCAACTAGTATTGATGGAGAGCGGAATAAGCATCGATCCTTGTGTCCCTGCCATCAGCCCTCGTTGACATTATGAAGCACGAGTACCGACCAAAATGATCCTTTCTTGTTACAATACAGTTCTTGGTTAAGAAGAACGTCACCGCGATGGAAACCGTCCAAATGGGACTACCACGGTAGCTATAAACATCCCGACAACCAGCAAGTTTATAATAGTACCTGTGACAGTGCACTCTGAGTCACGCCAACTTCTAATGCAGCCTACCTCAAAGGAGTCGTCCAGTGACATACTGGCGCACGGTTATTCCGGGTGTGTGGAAATTTATTCACATCGCATTTGACTGTCACCTAGAAGCAAGCAAGTCGCGCCGCCGCGCATGGCTGTTGAGAGATCTAAATCTATAACAGGTAGAGCCAAGTTCACAAGGCTCGAATGGCAGGCGATAACAATTACACTTTGCATCTGATATGCAATTCATTTCCGGTAAGACTTGACTTGCGAATTGGTCCCGTCAACGAGGCAGCTCATTAGAAGCAAAATCCTGGTTGGATTAGCGTAACACTGCGCCTGCCAGAGGCGCCATGGGCACGGAGCGCATGATAAAAAGGGCTTGGTATGATGTTCCATTTTGTGATCAATTTCCAAACTCTCGCAAAGGATAACAAGGGTTCTCCTGCTTCCGTACTATTTTACCTGTCCCCTAGAGTCTACATATGGATAGGTTAGGCGTGCACCGTAGAAAAAGACACGGGCGCACCATACATTCATCCAGGTCAACACGACAAGACATGTCGTCCTCATGGTCAGTACAGGCCCCTGGTCAATATTCAACAAGACTACTAGTCCGGCAGTCATATCTCGAGTGCCTCGACCGCCTCTACAGGTTAGAGCGTCGCGTGCACGAGGAAATCCAGGAGGTTCACACCTTCATGGATCTCCTTGACAACTACCAGTCAGATGCCACAATGGAGGATTCGGACGGATGTGATAGCACCATCGACTTCCAAGCTGGACTCGATAGCCTCGATGCTATTCTACCGTCTGAATCTTTGCACGACCCCTGCTTCGTGCTACAGCCTGCATCGCACGAAGCATCGTTCGGGGTCATGGAATTGTTAACAGAGAGTACAGAGAGTAAGTTGCTGTATATGCAGTTTTTCCTTTGAATGCTTACCATGTACAGGTTTATTGCCCCATGGCACCCGCAGTGCCAACTGTGTAACTCAGCCTCAACACAGCATGTACTCTGCAGGCATTCTGACATTTTCTGACTCGCGTGTCAGGGAATCGTCATCAGATGGTGTGGATGCTCGCCTCGGTAAATTCGCTATCATTCGTAACATTTCATTGAAACACTTACAATGTATCCCTAGGTTTATCGCTCCATGGCACGTCCAATTCCGTGTATGAGCCCGCTGCGAAACCGTTCCAGAGAATTTATTTCGAGCCGGGAAATGCCCTATCGAGTTCTGTAGCCAGACCTGATGCGGAACTGTTTGTCCCCGTTGGGCAGGTTAACCAAGCAAAGGTGAAATGCACCTGGGAGAAATGCTCGGCACTCATCAACAAGGATAATCTCACTCGTCACGTCACAGAAGTGCACGAAGGGAGGATTAAGGCTGTTTGTCCAGGCTGCAGAAAGGAGTTCAAGCGTCCGTACCAGATGAATAAGCATAGGCTTCGGACCGGATGTGGAATGTCCTAGATTGTGACTTGTATAAGAAAGTCGTTAGATATTTGATGAAGTGATTCCTTATGGACAAGATGGGACCTGGGGGTGTTGATGTCCACTTGCTGCAAGGCCACCTTGGTGGAGGAAAGCACGCCCTTGACTTCATTCGCTACTTCGGGTCAGGTCGAGCCATCAATATCGGCAGAGAAAGCCCTAGAGATAGGTATGAATATCTTGAAAGAAACAGGGAAAGCGATGCGCACCGTTGTTTGCAATGTAAAGTGTTTTCAAAAATAACTTAAGAGAGTGCAGCCCTCTACGTGAATATGGAAGGAGAAGTATGGCTGCACTGACAAGAAAAACGTCGACGAGACGTCGGGACTCGGCCCCCGGGCCCCATTGGATGATTGTTCGGGTTCCTAGATATAAATATGCCCTATCACCGGCATCTCCGGAGTTCCTACTATGTTCCACAACTATACCTCCAGCAATTCCTCTTGGAGATGTCATGATCAATCCCTTGGAGGTGAGTAAGCCAACGACGAGCAAGCGGAAACTCAGCGGCATTTATTCGTATCGCCTTGTCCGTGCCTTTCAAGTTCTCCGTATTCATTTTCGCTCACAAATTACTTCACACAGATTCATTGAAACTAGCGGAGCTTGCATGCGTGCGTGCGTTGTAAACAACTTCAGATCTACATGGGTGCGTGTGTTGAAAACAAGCCAGGCAGATTCAGATAATCAAATACAGGCGTGTGAATTGCCTATATACATACGTGCGTGCATCGATCAACATAATTGCAATCTTGATCATCGAATCTTAGCTCGATCGTGAACCTGCCCTGATTGCGACGCGTCGATCGGATGTCTTCATGTCGATCTAGACCTTTCAAGGCAAGCTCATTTTGGAGCCATGCGCGACACAAGTTTGCTCCTTGTGCAAAGACTCGGTTCGGAATGGTGAGCCTAGCTTCTAGTGGCATGGGAAGGTGCGAACGCAACTCACTGGTTAGTCGTTGCCTGCTTTTGTGATCGCACTCTAGGTATGCAATCGAATTTTTATGGCCATAGCAGGCCAGTATGACCTTCGAGTTTGGCTATCTCAAGACAGACGCGATAGGTTTAGTTGCACGTTTCGAGTAAAAATCACGTACTGCAGCGCCGGATGGGATGCCAGCGCTTCAGCAACAACGCCCTGCCAGAAATTTGGACAACACACCTCGTCTCACCTGCCCGGCGAATATCAGATCATCGCTTGTTCAAGCGGTGACCTGCGAGTATGGAACTTAAGTAGCGGTGACCAAACAGAACGAGACAGAGAAGGCGTACCGTAAGTAAGACATGCGATGTCTCCTGATGGGAAGATGTGAGGATGAGAATGTGGGATACCGAGAGAGGCAAGGTGCTCACCTGGAACACAGGTAAAGTGTTGTTTGTCTATTGAAATCAAGATGTAGGGTTAGTGATGAGCGGATTTGCTAAACGATGGAATAACAAGGGACGCTCGAGACAGGACATTCCTACGTGAGTACAGTTATCTATGGGTGCTGTTACGTATTATGTTCAAAATCCCAGTGAAGATATGGACTGCACGTAGTATAGATACAATTTATTGCCGTACCTTATTGTGCAGTGCATCACTTCGAACATTGCGCTAACTTCCATTTCGCTGTGTGACCTCGTAGAGCCAAGGCATAAATTTCTTGACATAAGTCAGGTTTTCGTGAACGACAACTGTACACAACTTGGAAGCGACCGCGCAAACTGATCAACGCTAAGAGCAATCCCAAAATTCGTCACAACTGCTAACTTCCTACTGCCATACTTCTAGTGTTGTCTCCAGGTCTTGAAACCATTTCTATCTACGACTAACGACATCTAAACATGCTTTCCTCTCTTCATTATCACTTCTATATGATTATTAGACTATTTGTATAGCGCGCTAGACGTAGCCATGGTATCTCATCATATGACATGGATGTATTCCTCTATGTAGTTGTTGAATTTTATCAAGCGCGTATTGTGTTGTGTGATTACATGGCTGTTACAGACGCGGATATCAAAAGGTATACAGAAGGAGGGAGGGGACCGTCGAGCACAGTGAACGGTGGAGCTCAGGTGACGCACGTAATCGTGTTGGAAATCATACTAATGACACATTCCCGGACGTGAAGATATTCCAAACTCAATTCTTATAGGAGGCTCGCTTGACATACGGCACAGTAGGCCTTCCCAAAGATCCAAGATACCTGTTGACTTTAACCCAATTCAAACCATATGGGTTTCGAACCTGGTTGACACGAGGGAGCCAGGCATAAATAATGCAAGCGATAGTTTCAGCATTTGCTATTTGAGACACCGATAAGTTCAAAGCCAATGATCGTAGGGAGGTATGTTGTATTGGCTCGGCATCAGGATCGATGTCGATAGTTGCAAGATTGATTGAAATTCGTAGTGTATGCAATTCTGGACATAGACCGAGCGCTGTGAATAATCCACGGAGGGAGATTTTGGAAGAAGGAGCATAGCTAGCTGAGTTGTTGATTTCCAGAGCGCAGATGTGCGGCCAAGTAGACATGGCTTGCAAGAGCATGTCATTGTCCAGGTGGATGTGGGAATTACGAAATGTGAGCCTCAGGCTTCGGAGTTGCGTAAAGCAAAGGAAATGCGGAATTGGTGTCAAAGGCTCGCTGTTTGGGGGTACACGGTATTCCTCATCAAAAGAACAAATGGTGATTTCTTCTAGAGTCCGACACGCTTTGCAGCGGGACAGAGCATGGAAGAGTTGCTCGGCATCTTCTGGAGAGATATACCTGGCATTGAACTCGAACTCTTTCAGCGAGGGAAATTCCGAGTGTTGCATGACTGTGATGATATATGCAGGATCATAGAGGTCTTGAAATAAAAGGCTTGTGATGTTAAGGAATGATAGATTCACGATATCTCGTTTTGACAGCGAAGGAGGGTCATTACACCCTTGTTGAATTTCCAAATTGAGAAGGGTAGGGAGGTGGGAGAGATGCTTCCATGTTGCCCAGTCGAGCATTGGACAAGAAAGAGTTACAAGCCGCGTGCACCAATGAATCCTATCGGATAGCAGGGACATCTCATTTGCTATGCTGTCAACCTGGTACCATGCGGGAGTGTAGATGCATAAATCCTCCAGAGCGATGCAACGTGTCACAAAAGATCGCAGACCCTCGTCGACGCCCAATAGATGACATCGGTGCAGCATGTGAGGCAGAAAGAGGTTCAAATATACGGTGGTAAGACTTAATGACTTCAGCCTCGGAAATATGCATGCCTCGGTGGGGATGACAGAGAGAAGGTGCGGATGTTCACAATTTATGTTCAATGTGCGTATGCGGGAGGAGTGACGCAGAAATTGATGGGCCTCATGGGCAGATAATGGTTCGACACCTTTTGCCCAGGGTTGGTGCCACTATTATGTAGACGCTCGGTGAGCCGAAAAGGAACGAACAAAGCGTAATGAAGTCGTGTACTGACCCTTATACCACTATGATATATCAGTGGATGTAACCTCGCTACACAGCCTAGCAGTGGTTCTAACCCATGGATTTCAGTCCACAGCAAATCCATCGCAGGCTCGTGGAAGATTTTGCATGTCCTTGCAAGCGCTGCAAGCACTTTCTGGGTCGATGTTGTTTGAGTAGGTGATACATAGGCGAATATCTCTAGGAGGACTTCGGGAACAAGTAAAGCCTGATGCATCACTGGGCCCTGGGGCAGAGTCAAAACTAAGTGTTATGTAACATTGCCTACGTATACGTGGGACCAATGCTATTTTCAGAATTCCAGCCAAGTTATCGATGTGAACTAGCTACATAGTATACAGTATTATTGAGTGGTGCGTGTGTTGAAAACATATGTTTCGGCCGGGTAGATCTTCAATTGAATATACGTGTCGTGTATTATTTTGTAGATCGCAATCTTGATTCCGTTTCGGGGCACTTGGCCCTCTTTCAACCCTTTGTCTAGTAATTTGAACCTTCTACCTCACACGATCTTCGTACTGCAGAGCTCACAACATATACCTCACGTGTCTGCTGCCTACTTGCTTTCATCATGCTGTATTGGTACGAACCACAACCCTGCATTTCACTCACTTATAATAGTTGTTCAAATGTCCCCTACACAACCGCCTTCTACGAAGATCACTTGCCCAGTTACATGTCCCGAGACCACCGATGAAGACACTACCACTATTTGGTTTGCAACGTCCAGAGGTGTCCCAATTTTTTTCAACGGAGTGCTGTCGTACAAAATAAACCACGCTAAGTAGATACGTGAAGAAAATGACCGTGACTTACACGGCTAATAAAGGTCCGCTGACGGCTGGATCATCCAGTGCCTCTTGTACCATCGGTGTCGGCACTCGTCCAGGTGCAATACAATTCACCCGTCCCCTCTGTGCGATCTTCATAATTTCGCTTGAGTGTCGTCGTCAATATCCGCGCTCAGCACATGACTGATTCACGACAAACACAAAAACTCACCACTCTTGCTGATAGTATAATCGCCGTGATTCGCTTCGCCATATTTACCTGATGTGCTCCCGATGAGCACAATTGCAGCCCTATCTTTCACGCTTTCTGTTGCTGCACGCAAGTGGCGCAAGAACTCATGGCAGATCAGGAAGCTCAAGGTGAGGTTTGCACTGATGGTGTGGTCCCATTGTTCAATGGTCATATCAACGATAGGTACGTCCTGAGGCGACCATATGCCATGGTTGACCACAACTACTGCCACAGGGCCGAACGTTGTCCCTGAGAGCGCGTCGAACATACTCTTTACGGCAGACTCAGAGGAGAGGTCTGCCTGTGCGCACTGGAGTGCAGGGAAGTTGACTTGGAGATTCTGGATGGGTTTGGAGTTAGAGTTGTAATGTGCAGTCCCATTTGCGCCCAGGGCTGAAAAGTGATGTCAGTCACATCTAAACACGATGGAATTACACAGGTATAGTTCGACGGTTTCAAGGCCAATGCTTCCACTTGCGCTTGGAACAAGGGTTAGGAAATCATAAGCAAGCTGACGAGGGAATGACTGAACCTGTTACAATGACATGAATGTTTTTCAGCTCTAAATACCCGTGAACTAGCCTTCCCAAATTCCAGATGGATTACGGGAAGAAGCTAAGATTGGTAGTGAGAACTTCATAGGCCGGCCGCTGAAGCTGGATGACGCGGACGAACACCTCGCCCGCCTGCGGAGTTGGGGTTTCAATATGTTATGCTTTCCTGTAACCTGAGAGGCTCTAGAACATGAAGGACCGTGAGTGTTTAATCAACGTGGTCTCCAGCCTGTGATGAAAGTGGTTCGACCAGAGGGAAATATGACCATGATTTTATGGATTATACAATAGAGATACTGCTGAAATACAAAGCACATGAGTTCAAAGTTTATTTTAATCCTCACCAAGATACCGTAAGCTTCTTCACAAAAACATCGCTATGTTTCTTGATCTCCCATTCAGCGGTCTCGGTTTTCAGGCGGTTCGGGAGCGCCCTATTGGAAACTCACTGCATGCAGTTTTAATCCATGCGCATTCAGCGTCACCCAAGCAGCCATAATTCATTGCGAGTATCCCACTCCCGCGTCCCGCAACCCCGCAGAAATGCCTGCCATGATATGGTCAACAAATTACGGAAAACTTGTCTCGCAAACCATGTTCGCGCTCTTTTTCGACAGCTCAACGTTCGCGCCAAAATGCGTCATTGATGGAGTCAACATTCAGGAATATGTCCAGACGCATGTCGCAAATGCTGTCGCAAAGTTGATGGAGCGAGTGGCAGCAGCCAGTGACCTTCTTGACGAAGTCGTCATCGGTTGGAACAGTATGAACGGGCCAGCAAAAGGGCTCATTTCATGGGATGACCTCAATGCATATCCACAGCAACAGGGTTCCACGTTCAAGAAGGGTACCGTTCGGTTCCCAGTGCAGAGCTTTCGTCTCGGTATGGGCCAGGTCCAGACACTTGACAACTAGCGGCACCAAGTCTCCTTCCCCTGTTCCCATTCTGGTAGTGGCCATTTCCATTCGAAGGCGTAGCTCCATCTGCATGGCCCATGCTACCGGGAGGATTCGGTGAACAGTTGTAGCCCCGTGGAGGTGTTGCGCTGCTGCTGCCTGTGGGCACACGAGGAGCACCGCATTCATCCTCGTGCTTGAAAATCGCTAGTGTTGCAAGGCCACGTGCACCAGGCGGTCTGCAGGTTTAGGTGTAGCGGTTTTTGCTGCTAGAGCCGCAATCAATACACCGATTGAGGGCTGGGGTGCGGCAGGGATAGTCGAACCAAACAGGGTGCTTGATCGAGTGGCGTAGGTCTCCACGATGCCTGGTATAATTTTTCTACCAGCTGGACGTGCATAAGTCCACCGGTGCAATGTCACATCTTAATTCCGTTGTCCACACGAAGACGAGGAGACAGGATAGCTGTCAAAAGGAACCTGCCGCAAGGCGACCATTCGCAATAAGAGGTGTTTGGTACGTCGATGGTATAAATCTTCGTCCTTGCGGATTGGAAGAGATAAAGTTATGAGGAGAGGATTCAAAATTGTGAAGCGTCCGCACACGTTGGTCAAAGAGTGTAGTTTTAGCACGCATATCTAATAAGAAAACGCCAGTTGTTAGTATAGTAGTATGACTTCCATGATCTAGGAAGACAACTAACATCCATAGACAACGCCAAATTCTTTCGAGTTTGGGCTCCGCAAGACGCCATGGATCGGTCCCTCCTTGTCCAGGGTGATGCGACAGTCGAAATTACCTGCCGTGCTCAGGAGGTACATACCAGTCTCGCCATAGTGGCTCATGTTTGAGCTATCAACCTCCGTTTGTATAAGGACTAGTGCCTGTGTGCCAAGATCGTTCCACCTTATCTGGGCGCGATCAGCCTTGTAGAAAGTTTTAGAGCAAGTGGGAGCGCCAGAAAGGTTGGATAGGCCGTAGATCTTGACAACCGCAAGGGCGCCCTGAGAACAATAAACTTAGCATAAGATTGTATGTAACATGCAGGGGAAAGGATTATACCTTCTTCTCAGCAACAAACACCGCAATGGATGGGTTCAATCCAGCACTCAAGGAGACCATGGATGCGCCTTCGACGCGCAGCTTACGGCAATGCCCTTCCCCCATTCAGCAGGACGGTAGACCTGGATCGCCTGAGCAACAAGACGAATGGCATATGACTCAGATATGGTGTACTGAAGGTCCCAATTCTCCTGCGACTTTTGTGTGAATGAGATGAGCTCCTCGTCGGTAGACGCAGAGATTCTTGTGCTGGGCGCCATCTTCCAGCTTGACTGCGGGGAGGCGTGCGAGTGAGTTTTTACCGAGACCCTCGACGACAGACACGAGGCGTACCTGGCCGCTCCCATGTAGAGAGGTATGTTCCGCGCGGAGAGAACTTGAGTTCGATGATATTTGGAACACTCAGTTCTTGAAGCAGCTGGGCACCTTCGGCTAGAAAGATCCGCACACTGCGAGGATCAAATTGAGTCAGCTAGGTGATTCGCGCGAGCACGAAGTAAACCTTACACAGTTGGTAGCGCGTATGCAAAGAGGCGACCATCGGGGCTGTAGTGGTATGTGCGAGCTGGGACATCGGGGACGGCGAATCCCTCTATTGGCATGTATGTGGGTGTGCCGCCAACGAGGCCCGTGCTCTTCTGTGCGCGGACTACAAGATCCCAATTACGTTAGATCAAAAAACAAACTGGATGATAAATATTTGAACGAACAAGCATATTGCTGGGAAAGCTGGGAGGCCATTTTTTTGTGCTGAGAAGACGGAGGGGGCGAGAACGAAGCAAGTGAATGCTTCACAGGAGACTGTCGGTGGAGGCAGAAGATCAAAGTATAAAGCATAAGCTGAATTCAAACAAGATCTACTTTAGGGCAAGCCATCAGAGAACCTGTGAACAAATGAGAATGATATTCAAAGTAATATATTGTTAAGCATCGCAACAATCAGCGTAAATTTGCCACCCGCTTTCACATGGGAATGTTTGGCATTGTCGAGGAAAGACTAATTTGCAAGTACACGGGCCTGGTAGCCCTATTTGCCTCGAGGACTTTTTCACTGGCACGGGTCTAAGAGACAATGTGCTCGCACAGGTTCATGCATTGGAATATGAGCCTGGTTTGAGAAGGACAAGGAAGGAGGTTGCAGCGTGCAGAACTACGAGACACTCGGGCGATGCTCATAAGTGAAGAGAACGGTGTCATTTGGTCTTTGCACAATATATTTTTGCTCGCTGCGGATGACTACCGAATGGGCGAGTAACTTGCTCTGGTAAAAAGTGTGAGTAACAGTAGACATTAATTCTCAACGAATAGTTTGTCCGTATTGACCGAATGTTCGACGAGTGTCGCTTTGAGTGGTATATTGCATAGAATAGTGACAATGTTCTGAGTTGTGTTAAAGTAGGTATCACTGCTCGATGGACGCCGAGTTGCAATGACATAGAAGAACCGGAGTCGCGCACGCAAAATGTTTGTTGGTAAACTGTTGCACAGAACCATGCATTATACGGAGCACAAATACAGTTCCGAGGTATGTGAGAGTACACACGATTTCTCAATGCATAGATTTCCCAGTCTGTCGCTGAAAAGCAATATTATTGTGCAATGGAAACTTACTGGAACACAAGTCCCACAGGGAAAGCAACGTTCAAGGTGTTGGATTCTTGTCTGCTAGATATAGATTGGGAATCCGTGCGAAAAAGCGTTACCTTTGCGGAGCAGCGGATGCTTGAGAGATAAATCAAACTTTTGTCCCGTTTGACTTCACGACATCTGTTTGGAATCTTCAATGTTCGTCACTAATCTTCGGGAAAAATCAAAAGCCTCCAATTTTGATCCGGTTCAAAGAGTTCCCGGTAGTGACCATATCTACAAATGATTTAAAACTTGGTGTAGCGCTACAAGCATACATAATGATCGTGCTAAACTGTAATCCCACCCAATCATTGGCATCTTCGCAATTTAACCCTTCTGGCCTCCCTAGCCCAAAAATTCTAAAGAACTTGTACACTCCTCAACTACATGACGGATGCTTCAAAGCAAATGAGCCCAAATTTATGCATTGCTTTGGATATTCACACAACCTTCTGTGAGTATCCCATCACACGACACTTGTATTTAGTTGTGACACGTCCTACAGAAGTTGTAGTATCGCGCAGACGCCGTGCCTTGTTCACTTCCAGCTGTTACGCACTCAAATAGATCTGTTAGGCGGAGCCCTAAGAGGGGCGTCGTCCGCTAACGTTCGTGACGTAACCGGAAGGATCCGGTATAGCAAGTGAGACTGGCGACTGTTACGTCGACTGTAGGTCGGCGTGTGCGAACTAGGATAGTTCTTCTCAGCGACGAGTCGAGTGACTCTACTGAAGCTGAGCGTGGTCTGACTTTGACGGAACGTCAAAGGTTCCTCCGGCGATCTCGGTAAGACGGTGCTCGTCGAGATGCAGGGCTAGCGGATACGTGCAGAGTTGTACGGGGACGACTCTGAAGTGCGGTCTCACACAAGGAAGCTTGTTTAAGGCTAAGATGAGCAAGTTCTTGGTAGAACCTAGTAGATTAAAGTGAAGTTCAATCTACAACAATGTGCCTACTTATACATAGTGTATGTAGGTGTTCAAGCTCAGTCTGTAATCTATAGTATATCGGTAATCTAAGATAACCAGACATGAGGAGAGATAGTATACATGAGGCTTAACCTCTGATCATACATGCAGCGCCAAGTGCAGCTGCGCATAGGTACAGGAAGCGCCAAGCGCTCCGGGTCTTCATACATGAGGCGCCTAGGGCGCTCTGGATCTTCATGAAGCGACATGCTGTATACATGCGCTGATCTAGGGTGTCCATGAGGCGTACAGCCTCCATGGAACAGGTACAAGGCCGTCTAGGCCAGGGGCGGGGTCATAGCGTCAGGCGGGGTCATAGCGCCATGAGGCGGGGTCATAGCGGTCCAGACCGCTGTCTGTCTAGGCGCAGGCGGCGCACCGCCGCGCGGGGAGTCTAGCAGAGCGGGGGCAGGCGTAGGGAGAGCTGGGGCTCTAGTAGGTGTTACAGATCCCTGTAACAGCGACGACGAGTCGGCAGCGATCACAGTACGCGCGTGTCACGTGACTTGGTAGACGGATGTCTAAGAAGTCACTCAAGGTAAGGACTGTCTTGTCCGTACGATGAGGTCGATCGAGGTAGACTTAGTCGCGATGAGCGACTAAGAAAAGATACTAGAGACTGAAGCTGAGGGGGCTTCAGAGAGAAGTATGTTCCAGGGAAGATTGAGTAGATTCAAGTTAGAGAATCTAGTACAGTGTGACCGACTACTTATACTAAGTGGAAAGGGTTAAGGGCAAGGCTACCACACAGTAGGTAAGGGTAAAGGGGAAGCGAGAATGGTATAGGTGCGCTGGCATCAGAGCCGGATTAGTGGTGGGTGGTCGAATGTGGAATGAGACCGAGAAACGTTGGAACGGACCAACGGTAAGAATACAACGTGCGGGAATCCGCAGTCAGGGGAAACAGAAAGAGGAAAGCCACATTGGTGGCACGAGTCAGACCGAGTCAGAGGTGCGGGACCACATTGGTGGTCGAATCAAGAGAGGAACGTGCGGGCACGTGCATAGAGGCGAATGATGCGAGGGACGGGAACGGTCCCGAGGATCCGGTCAACGGAAAGTCAGTAAAGGAGGACGAGCCGGTAGATGGTGAGGGCGAGGATGAGGGGAAAATGATAGGGGGGCCACGTGACCGATGTTACTTGTAACACCAGCAGAGTGAAAAATGAGGTTGAAATGTATAACCACACCAACCTATTAGCATCATTTGCTTCGCGACCTTTTTAACTTGGATGGCTCTGAGAACAAGCGAGTGGGCACAGGTTCATGAGTTTAAATATGGATCAAAACTGACAGGTAAAAGATGGGAGATTGGAATGTGTGAATATGGAACATGTTTCGGCGATGTCACTAGTGGTCCAGATGCCTCTCGTTCGGCCTTCAGGTAGTACATTGTTGCAAAATAAGAATAACAGCAAAGCTGTTCATAGCCATCACTGTGAACAATACATCAAATCGAGTGCAAATGACATCGCAGGATATGTTGGAGTGAAAATTACTTCTCAATGGACAGAATGTCTGTATTGACTGAATGTTGGACAAGTGTCACTTTGAGTGGTATATTGTCTAGAGCACAGACAATGTCCTATGTTATGTTAGACACAAATTCGTTGACAGATTATGCCAGAGTACATATAATTTCTCAATGTATATATTTTATAGTCCGTTGCTGCCAGATGCAACTGCTCACCGAGAAGCATCTGGAACACAATGACGCATTGGATAATTGACTTCAAAGATTTCGCGGTAGTGACAATATTTAGGCGACTTATGGTCAGATAGGATGCACTGTACATTATTTCAGAACTATATGCACATCAATTTTGCAGATCACAAGACAATTGATGATATTAGTAGTATAGGTAGGGCCTAGTATGTACGACTACAGCAGCAGGTAAGCAACTATTCAGAGTCAAATACAGCGTTCTCCATCTCCTGTCTCTGGACAGCGAGAGCGCTGATGGACATTCGGGAAACAACGTCCATCGTCAAGTCCTCGCGATGGTTTTTTCCGAAAACCTTTCTGTACAGGGGGTTAGCGATCAAAGTGAGCCAGTGACAATCAATGGCTGACCGAGTCCACCATTCAAGAAGCTCTTTGACCCTGGCTCGTGCCGCTGGACCTGGGGCGTCCTCAAAGAAATCCACGATGTTGTCCCAGAAAATCTGATAATCAAAGTCTCCGTCTACAGCGCGCCAAGAGGAGACATTGGAAAGTGCAAAACGGATCTACAAAAAATAAATTTCAGCCTTACAGTTAAAAGCAAGCATTTATGATTACTTGGCAAGTTGCATACGCGATGGCACGGGGAGTCACCTTCCGCATACCTATGATAGAAGCCACACATGTTTTCACTTTGACCTGATCCGATCGTCTCCGTGCGCGTCGGTTATTTTCAATGATGTTTGCACCATCGCCGTCGCCATCGGCTTCGTTGGCAGAGGATGGAGAGGTAAAGATAGCCTTGAACCCCTGTGATGCGATGAAATGTGAATTAGTTGAAATGTTTTGGTTACTCACCATAACCAACAGCTTCGACTTGAAAAGCCCACGTTCTAGATTATTGGCGTCAGCTTGGTAGTTTTCATACATAAACATTGGCCATGAATTCTCAGATACAATGAAGGAGGTCGTACGGTCACGAATTCCAGCCCTGATGCTGGCCTCAAAATATCAGTACCATGTCAGAGACAAAGACCATCACTTACACTGGGTCTCCCCAGCGCCATTCCGCTGGGCAGAGCAGTTTACCGCATGCGTCGCTCACAAAACCTCGATGATGCTTGTCATCCGTCCTGATGAGAGGGGTCGGATTACATTCGATATTGACCCATGACGCCACGAGCTCTTTGAGAGTTCCCGTGTCGTCACCACGAGCTGAGTCTGCGCCTCGCCTGAGCTATATGGAAAATGAGTAAGAAGTGGACAGAATGATGTCGGAAAGTACCTTTCGAAGCATGTCTTCCGACTCCTCGTGGTCAAGACTTGACAGCTTCTCGTGAACCCACGGCAATATCTTAACGAATTCAATGTAGCCACGTTGGAGGCGGTTTTGTCTGTTCTTTTCGTAAACAAACATAAGAATACGAACAACGGTACTACTTACTCCGGAGTGAAGTCACTGTACTCATCATCATTTTCACAGCGCCGGTCATTTTCGGCGATTAGATCCTCTATAGGACTGTAAAGGGCCACCATACGGCGAATTGCTCGTCCCTGTGAAATATAATAGATTGTCTTCCTAATGAAGATGAGACTTTGAGTGGCCGAGAAATGAT